GCAGCAGCAGCAGCAGCACCAGCAGCAGCAGCAGACCACCCAGCGGCGGCAGCAGCAGCAGCAGCATACCCAACGCCGCGGCAGCAGCAGCCGCAGCAGACCACCCAGCGCCAGCAGCAGCAGCAGCAGACGACCCGGCGCCTGCAGAGCACCCAGCGCAGCAGCGCCCAGCGCAGCAGCGGCAGCAGCAGCACCAGCAGCAGCAGCAGCACCAGCAGCAGACCACCGGAAGCCCGGCTAGCTTTCGTTCACCCCCTCTGGCCTCAAGTTGGACCACAGGACCAGGTCTCCTGTGCACCAACACCAGCCTTCTGAATCTCAGAACCCACAGCCATACAATCATGCTCGAAAATCCTTGTCTTGCTGGAGAGGCTTTTAACAACGCTTTTGCCCCAAGCAAGGCTTGCGACGACCTTCCTGGAGCACTCTGCGCCGTCCTTGTGTTTTTGGGTGTCCAAGAGCCTCGTTCAGAGAATTGAGCAGAGCTTCGAAGTGAATGTTAAAAGATGTTAAAAGTTCAGAGGTCCATAAGAGCTGGTATTTGATGGTATGATAGTATGATTCAGTAATACAGTATGTGTGGTTGCTTGGTTTACAGCTGGGTAGTCTACCGGCCTACAGGGTTCCTTTTTGCTCTGAAACGATCAAAAAACGGTGTCCCCTCGATTGTCCTAGATGTTGAACACGATTCAAGACGTTGACCAAAAGTTGAACTTATTTGCTTCACTTTCTCTTTTTGCTAAACAAAAGAAATTGAGTGTGAAGACAATGATTTGTTTCCTCCGGTTTCTTCCCTGACCGTCCTTATGCAGCACCAGTCATTCCGACCCGAGGAGCTGCATGAGTTGCACCAAGCTTTACGAGGATCACATCCATTTGGCGGGGACACTGAGCATGGAGCATGTGATTCCACGGGGGTTCCAAACCTGGATCAGGGAAGAGGTGTCCTGAGTCAAGAGTCATTCTTCTACGAAAAGCATTTGCTTACTTCCCTAACTTTTCCTTAGGCAGCGGCGGCAGTGAACTTCATCCTGTGCTCATTTGCGTTAGCTTTTGTGTTTACCTTTGAGAAGCTTGGCAAATCTTGGCAAGGTGGTGGGAGGCACTGGATAAGATCGAGCAAGCAAACAAAGAATGGAAGAATTGAACGCAAAAAAAGAACAGTTACGGTATGTTACGGCGACCTCCAAGAGTTGACCTCCACAGATCCAGAGTCTAGAGGTTCCAAGGGTCCAAAGTCTCGAAACAACGGGTTGAAGAGTCCGAGCCATGAAGCTGCAAAGCATCGTGAAGCTGAAGCATGGTGAAATTATGTGGAATTGTTTGAAGACATTTGCCTTAAGATGCCGTGAGGCACACCTTTGACGAGTATTTGCGTCGAATTGGTCCCTTCTGGAAGTTCTGGGGCGTCAAAGGAGTGGTGCTCCTCGGAGAAAGAAAGATCAATAAGTATTTTGTGCGTCAGCTTGAGTGTACATAAAGTATGTCAAAAATACGTCAAAATGTTTAACCTTGTTCCATCAACAAATCAGTTTACATCAATCAACTATGCGTTCACTTTGGTTTCAGGATCAATTGAAGTCCTCACTGCAACGGATTCAAAATGCGGTAGGGCCATCAGGTGTGTTGACACACATTAACTATTCATCGGAGTAACAATGCAGGGAGGAATTGAAGACTAAGTGACTGGAGGTCAATCTCGCAATTCTGAGAACAGAAACCATCAGATGTCAATTTGCTGTCCAAGCCACATGCAAGAAGTTGAATTGGCAACCAGCTTGCCCGATTCCTGACTAGGCAGCAGCAAACCCTCCAGTCCTTTCACTTGTCCCATCAAAGGTCGGTCACATATTTCCAATGGCTGGCTCTGGTCCTAGCTGCCTCAGCTTCGTGAGAAATCTATTGAAGGCTGCAAGGCAATATGTTCGAAATGCGCTTGGTAAAGAACCCTCACTCTTGTTGGGCCAATTGGACATTTAGATGCATTATGATGCATTTAGCGTCATTTAGCTTGTTATGCTGTGCTTCTTTGCATTATATATTTTGAGGTTCTTCTTTGTTTCCGGAGTCAGATCGAGGGATTGACACGTGTTATTGCCCTTTGCCTTTTCTCGACCACGTGCAGGGGCTGTTGGCCGCTTTGCCAAGGTCTTGAGCTACGGGCCTTTCCACTTCGAACAGAAGCGCAGCCCAGCTCAGATGGGATGAAGACTTGTTACGGGACCGACTTCAATCAAAGCTTCCCAACGGAGCCGACTTCATCCCGCAGACTGGGGCTGAGGCTTTGGCAAAATCTGGGTGTTCCGAAATTGGAAGCCAAGGAATCTACCTACTACACTGCTTGCTCACCACAGTCGAGATGCCAATCCTGGTCATTTGTTTGCAAGAAGGGTTTTGTCCATCGAATGCTTCCAGCTACAAGGAAGTCTATTGATTGGATTTGACGCGAACAATGATAGGGAATGATAGGGAGAATTCCTGTTGATTCATGGAAGGAACCAATACAGTTGTGGCAAGGTATCTCTCATTTGCACAGTCTTTGCTGCATTGCACGGTGTGTTTGAAACAAAAGCCTGTGAACTACTTCTGTACTCAATCTTGAGATCTCAGGCAGTCATCCACTCCTGCTGTGCCTATCCCTTCGGCAAGCCATGGTTGGAGTATTTGTTGAAGCTGCAACAGAAGGAGCAATGGCAAGAGTTCGTTTGCTGTCCCCTTTCTTGGCCCAACGAATGTTTCAAGGTCCGGAAGAAGCAAAAAACGTCAAAAAACCTTTCAGGGAGACCGGGAGGCCTGATGTTTTGAGAGAACAAAAAATGTTAGCAAGCAATCAAAGCTTCCTGCCTGAGGACATGGAGGAGGCAGAGGCTGAGGCATCAGGCGCTGCAAACGCGTTGAGACTCCATGTGCTTCACAAGCGAGAGGCCTGCAAATCGCAAAAGTGCGATGCTTTGGCAGCTACTAGCAAGGACGCTACGAACGGGGCTCCTGGCCTTACTACTAGGAACAAGAAGCTACTAGGGGCTCCTGGCATCGCTACTAGGAGCAAGGACGCTACTAGGGGCACGTTTGGAGGGATGTGCCATGATGCGCCTAAGCTTTTTCACTGTCAGTCAGGAGGTTCAGCCCACACACCACGAAACTGACGACTTCATTTTCAGATTGTGTATGATATTGTATATAATGGCAAGCTGACTCGCCTTTCAGATCGCCGGATGACCGTGTCGTGTCCTTAGTACCTCTTGCATTCCATGGAGTACTGTAGTAAGAGTTGCTCAGCAATTCTCTCGAGCTTTGAGCGAATGAGTTCTTGAAAAGGAAGGGAGGGGGAGCAAGCGAAGTACATACTTGCGCATACAAACAGGAACACAAGAACTGGCCTGTTGCACAAGCATGTTGGCATCAAGGGACCTTCCTTGCATGGCTTTCAGAGCTAAACCGCTATGCTAGCAATCGTCGGTCCTGATATCCTTTGCTTAGCTTTGTTTTCTTCCATCATTCTGGGTCAACTTTCAACCATGAGAGCTTTAGTGGGAAAGTGTTGCTGAGTTGCTGAGGTTTTGGCGGGATCCTGAGGACACCATTTCCATGGGAAAGGCCATCGGCTGGTTTTGTCCAATTGGTGAGGTTAGTGATGTGACAAGCATCGTGGCGGGCGTTGGATGAAACATCTTCAGCCGCAGGTTGTCATGTTTCGGGCTTCAGAAGCTATCAGTCAGGAAAAGGGCCAGCCGGTTTAGATTGCGACCAGAGCCAAAAAATGACAAAAATTCAATTTGTCAATTGCCGATTCAGCCCGTCAAGAAAAGAGATAGAGTGATCTCGAAATGCTTGGGAGCTTACTTTATCTTACTTTGTTGCCTTTCAGTCTAGGAAGCCCAAATACATGCAGCAAGGAAAGGCCAATGCATTTGGTTTATGATGGCTCATGTCAAGGCAAGACCTTTAGAAGCTATCGGGATCAAGGCCATTCCATCAAGACTGGGTACAGGTGGATTCAATGCTTTGCTGCTTTTACTTGCTCTTCTGGATTGCAGGATGCGGGGGACCCCAGACATTTTAGACTTGATGGATTCAATCTTGCTCATGGCGGTGTTCGCATTCTGGCATCCACAGATTGTTGCCTGAGACTCTAAGACACACATGCAAATGCGTGCAGCCCTCCACGTCGCTCCACGTGGGCGCCACTGGGGCAACCTTGTTTGTAAGCGGTATCTTGGGTTGTAGGTTGGAACCTTTATGGATGACAAGGGCGAACCCAATCCGGTCCTTCAGGTCCGGCGTTTCTCCGGTTTTCACCGGGTTGGTGTCTCTCTTTTCGCGGTCGTTCTATGGTGAGAACCGGAGAAGGCAACTCCTGCCGGTGCAGGCTCAAAGGACGTTGAGTTTTCCCTTAGGGTCAACTCTTCCCTTGGCCACTGGTGTGGAGGAGACAACAACGTGACTGACCCATACGTTGTTGGGGGTGAGTTGGTTGGTTTGTTTCTTGGTTGGTTTCCAATGTTTGGGTCCTACGGTGTCATCCCTGTGTTGACTGGTGGCTGATTGGAACAGAGGTGAACTTGGTCGGCTTGACACAACCAAGGTCCGAAGCGGGAACACAAGGGGAGTAATTTACAGTGGAGGTATGTGAAAGCACATGTGTGAAGTGTGGACACGTGTATTCGAGCCCCCGAATTTGAGGGGGAGTGACGGCCATGATGCCTGTCTTCCCCCAGACTCCCAATGGGACGTCTATCAGGCGGCTATGCCAGTCTGGAGTGCTTACTTGGTTGTTTCCCTTCCCATGCTTTGGCAAGTTTCTTGTGTTGCACCTACTGTATGTGAATCCGGTGCCGAATGTGGATCAAACGAAAAAATTATCAGCTACCAGCTCGGTGAGATTCTGTGAGGACTTGTGTACTTCTCCTTGCTTCTTCTCGCACTGCTTTATGTAGTTCTGGTGGTGTAATATTTATAAATAATTTACTATATTACAATATTAGAATATAGTATATATATATATATTTGTGAGTGGAAGAATCACGAGCCCCATGGGTATATTTTGTAGTAGACGGGGCGGCCGGTGCGCCATAGAAACCATTTAGGAGTGACTGTCATGGTGTGCCTTTGGCTACCACCACCGCGGCCTCATCATCACACATACTGTAAATATTTGATGTCACTTGCCCTTATTGGATTCTGAAGCCAGTGCCTTCAGTTGCTTTGGCTGGACTTGACACTCGCAAGAATGTGCCACGCCAGACGCTAGAGCCTGCTAGAGGCATTGGAGCTCACAGCTTCGTGGTCTTTGTGCTGCCAGTGAATGAGATGGTGCAGCGACCACCCATGTTCAACGTGAGCTGCACTAAGGCGAGAATCAGAGAGAGTGGTGGCATTGGTGGCTTTGAGTGTACGCAGCTGGAAAAACGATGTCGAGCAGTTGTTTCGTTTTTGCCTTGAACGTGAAGTAGATTCCATTCACTGCTTTTGTTTGAGGAGGGTGACATTTGGCAATACGTCGAAAACAATCACCAGTTGCACTACCGTTTGAAGGATGTGCCTTGGCCTTGACCAGTTGGCGATGGTGGTGTTTGAGGTTCAGGTCTTGCGAATTGAAGTGAATGCGAGCATCACAAGTGACATACCCGGGCAATGGGCAAACTTCGGGGGATCTGCAGTGGTTTCTTCAGGGTTGAACCCTTGGACGGGTGATGTCAGTTGGAGCTACTGGCGCTAAGGACACTCTAGAGAAGTTATTTGGATGCATTTAGTTGCTGCTGAAAGAAATTCCATCGCAAAGAGGCACTCAATGAGATACGGCTCAAAGGCGATATAAGATGATATTGTTTATTAGGTTGGAGGCCATTGCTACTAGGTTGGAGGCCATTGCATATACAATTCGAAACGCCAGAAGCTTTGGAAAGCTCAAAAGAGCGAACCTGATGAGTTGCTAGGCATCGCTTGCCCAACGTTGGCGGTGCATGGCTTCATCTTTGTGATCGAACGGAGCCGGGTTTGGGTGGTTGATGTTTGTAGGAGTACTATTGGACTATTGGTGGGTTGGCTGTGTCTAGACAGTGGAAAACTATCTATTTTTGTTTGCAAAATCCAACATCAATTACTAGTACCTGATGATTACATGTGACCATAAAGTTATACAATTACACCTGTACCATCCTGTACATGTTTTCTCTCTTCTCCTTAGGTAAGTGGCATGTTTGAGTTTGTTTCTAAGATGTTGGTTTGTTCCAATTGTGCTGCTTGGTACCCTTTTGCGATGACGAACTTCTTAGAAAGGCCGTGCAAATGCGACACACTACACAGACAAAATGTCCAAGTCCAGTCGCCTGAAGGAATTGGACTGTGAACCTGGCTTTCAGGGTTCTCCAATACTTCGTTGCTCACCATCAGGCTCGTGCTTTCAATCCTGGCCTTTTGTTTCCGTGTGCATTTATGAGTTCTGACTTACAATACAATACAATGTCGAAGTGCACAGCAGCATGTGGAACAGACTCCGTCATGGCAAAGGGAATAGACTGATAGACTCTGAGCATTGTTTGTTGTCAAGAGTGATGAGATTCCCACACCAGAACCACAACAAAATGTGTATTTGTTTGTTTTGTAAGCTGGACCTGTGCACTCTTCACGTGATCACCCTTACACCGTTGGTGTTGGCGGGGCATTGTGGAGGCACTTATGATCACCGTGGATTTTGCAGACGGACTCGCTGTGGCCAGCCGAAGGAGGATCTGACCAAATCCGGCGTTCACCCACAGATAAAAAAGCCTACCCCCAGGGAAAAAAAGAAGAACGCTTTCCTGCTATATACTAGAGATGAAACGATTCCCAGCGAAACGATTCCCAAAGTATCAGTTAAAACTCAAAACTCATGATTCTGATTTGACCCCCACAGATTTGTCCACGGATTTGTAGGCTGCCTCGTTCAAGGCACAGTCGCGAGCAAATTCACGGTTGTTAGCGGGGAAGGATCACGGAGTTTGTTTTGATTGGTTGCATGAAATGATTAAGGTGAAGCAGCAATTGGTGACAGGGACATTCTGTGTGTGGAGTGTAGCTTGTAGAAGAATGCACTTTCGTGAAAATACCTTGACAGCTTCAAGATGTGGAACTTATTTTAACTTAATGGTATCTCCGTTCATTAGAAAGGTAAGAAAAGCCACGTATGTTTGGCTTCGTGGAGTGAAGATGCCACTGTGTTTTGTGTTTACTGGGCTTAAGCCCCTAGTAGCTTCTTGTTCCTAGCAGTAAGGCCAGGAGCCCCTAGTAGCGTAATTGCTCCTAGTAGCGATGCCAGGAGCCCCTAGTAGCGTTAGGGCTTAAGATATCTTGAGCCGCTTGATGGTGGTCCTGAACTTCGGCCGCAGGAAGTTGGTCATGCACGACTACATTCCTCTGGTCAGACGCGATGGACGAGTGACATGGACAGTCACATATTTGGCAATGTTAACTTGCACATACTCGGATGATTGATGATCATCTTGGGTGTGGCGTAGCAGCAGAGGAGATCACCTACGAGTGCCAACGTGGCTTTACAGGCCAAATTCAAGGGATTTGTGGAAAGGACTGCACGTGGCCAAAAAGCAATCGACCAGTTTGGCTTTGTCAGAATCAATTTGGAGGCAGGTACTGCGCAAAAGCGAGTTGACACTGACAAGTAATTATGGTTCCAACCCTGAGAGCAAATTGTTGATGACATGTCTATTTCAATGCCCGACCAGCAGTTTTACCTGGATTGTATAAAGTGCGTATTTACTTGTGTAATTTTGTGTAGAATTCCTTGCAAAACCGAACGTGCAAGAAGATGAAGCTTCCTGTTGGTCATGGTTGGATTTGGGATCACCAATCCAATTGAATGTCAAGAGCCCAATAGCACTAGTCTTTGTAAATGACACCTACACTCTGACACTAAGCAGAAGATTGAAGGATGGTGTATGGCGCTTTGAGGGCGAATGCAAGGAGGCTTGTGGGTACTTCCACCTGAGGGAAGGGTGGAGTACAACCTGTAGTACAACCTAAATCTTCCACAGCGCTGTAGTCATTTGGACTGATGAGTCTTTGTGTGCGTGCAGTATAAATGTAGTGATGTAATGATTCTTTAATGGTGCAAGTAGTTGTTTTGGGCAGGTTGTGATAGAGCGCACGTGATGATACCTCCGTGACGTGAAACAAGCGGAGCCGACCAGGTGATTTGCCCGAGCCCGCCTGTGGTCCCGAGAGCAAAGCCACTCTTGGAGCGGGAAGTGAGCACTTGGAGTGCCTGTATGATCCATCAAATTTCTGAGATTCTACGGTATCCAAACACATGACTCACAGTTTCAAACCATTTCAGACTCAAACTGTTCAATCTACTGTATCTCAAATTGCCAGCGCGGAACACCTGTGGGGACACAGCGGCATTGAAATGAGTTGATATGGCTAGGCACTGGTTCCAGGCAGAAAGTCACTGTCGCAGTATGTCGCAGTTGCTTTGTTACTAGTAGCTTCGTGTTCCTAGTAGTAAGGCTAGGAGCTACTCGTAGCGTCCTCTTGCTCCTAGTAATTAGCTATGCCCTTTGTTCCTAGTAGCGTCCTTGTTACTAGTGGTATCTAGTACTGAATTCCGCAACAGGAGCCTCACGAGCTGGAATACCGCACCTGGCAAGCGGGCACATCCTTGCACTACCAATGTGAGGAGCCCTTCACAGGCGAACACAGATGGGTAACGAAAGAAGTAGAGACGTATGCCATCCGAAAATGAAGGAGCATACAAAGAGAAAGCTTTAACATACAAAAGAAATAGATATGCTCAAGTCGTGCATTCCTACTACCTTTTGGAGTTGCTTTTCGGGAAAGTGAGTTCAAGCAACTGCTGCAGGTTCGATTACTGCCACATGCGAGGACCGGAGTCTCAACTTCCAAGCAATCACCACAAGCACAGAACCACAAGCACAGAGGTTCCAATGTAGTGTGGCACAACTGCTCAGCCAAGCCATTTTTAGGAAACCAGATGCATATGCCATGCAATGCCATGCATCTAGGAAACCAAGGGCAATGAATTTTCACGAATTGCAGTGCCTGGCAGTGCCTTCTCGCAGGACGACGGCACGTTTCTTTTGAGCGGCCGTTGCTTGCGTCAGTGCAATGCACCTCCGAAGATGCCCAACAGCGTGGCCATCTACGAGAATCAGTTGGCCATCAAAGGCAGAACCAAACACTGTGCCTTACTAGTAGTAGCAAGAAGCTATTAGTAACAAGTGCCACGCTACTAGTAACAAGTGCCTTACTAGTAGTAGCAAGAAGCTACTAGAAACAAGTGCATCGCTTCTAGTAACAAGTGCCTTACTAGTAGTAACAAGAAGCTATTAGTAACAAGTGCCACGCTACTAGTAACAAGTGCCTTACTAGTAGTAACAAGAAGCTATTAGTAACAA